TAGACATTTTTTTTCCATTTAAAGTACCTCATTGCCACTTCAAGTCCCTCCTCCTCCGAGGAAATGACTTTTAACAGATCTGGAAGGCTGGGGAGTACCAGAAGGCAAAACCAGTTCAATCACAGTGCATAACATCTAGAAGAAGCTGAAAACAAACAAAAAAAGGAGCTGTGGCGGATGGAGTTTTACTTTGAGTGTACAAACACTGAAATATACAGATATGATTGTACTTCGTAAATATCATAGGCTTTAGCTAAATTAACCACCAGCCCCCAAAATACCACACATTATGTTCCCACACGTTTTCTAGAGCTATGAGAGCCCACAGCAACTCAGTGCCAGGTTCAGCACTTATTCCAAGCTGGCTTTCTCGTACCTCCCTCCCAGTACATAGATAGAAAGCTTCCTTTACAACACTCAACAAACCAGAAGATCATTCAAATTAATAGCAGACTTGTTTTTTCACCTGGAGCCTAAGGTGTGAGGAATCTGGTATTCAAAACAACCTGTCCTTCAGAGGCACTGAGCAGAACAGGAAGGAGATCTTTGGGAAGTGTGTACTGAGAAGGCAGGCACCTCTTTTGCATGATCCTAATCAGCACAGCAGGTTAATTAACCCATGTCAGAAAGATTCAGGAACAGCATCCCTATTATGGAAATACATTTCTGCAGGAGCAGGTCAATCTACAGCACTTTTCTTGAAAAAGCATCATGTCAGTGTGATCAAAGTATTTTAGTTCTAAATCAGTTAAACATTTTTGGACTGTACTGTAATTTTTAGAAAATAACACAAGTATTTTTGGTATATTTATAGAGCTGTACAAGTCAAACCAAATATTTTACCTTACAAAATGAACATGTTTTGTTCATCTTAAGTGATGATTCTCATGTTGATGTTTTGTCTCAATTTTCATTTTCACTTCAAAGGAGGTGTTGACAGTTTGTTTCTCATTCTGATCCAGAACAAAAGCAAAATTTCCAAACGCTGCCATTTCTGTTGAAGCACAAACAATTCTTTATCTCATATCAACTATAGCTCCTCGGGAGGCTGCAGTCTGTATGGATCCCAGGGTAGATCAGGAACCCGCTGTTGGAACACTCCCAATGCATCTGTGCTGTCTCATTTATGGGTGGGTACACAGTGTCTGTTTCCCAGCATAATATTGGACTCTATCTGATGCAAAGGTGCAAAACATTCTGAGAGCTGGCTTCCTTATGGTTACAGGCAGCTGATCCTCAGGAGAAGATTCTCTTGAAGCATTTGGAAGGGAATTATAAGAAATCAAATGATCGATGGTTTATGTTAAAGCTGATAATGTGCAAGATTCATCCTACTAGAAAAGTCCTAGTTTTTTTTCCCCTCTCCAGGTAGTGGTGTTTTATTCTCAGCTACAGATGTCCCAGGCAGAGAGAGAAGTCACCTCTCCTATGATCATACTTACGAAGAGACATATGAAACCTGTTCTGAGCTCCATTAATGCTCCACAGTCCACACAGGTGTGACAAGGATGTCTCTTAGAGTCAGTCATGGTTGTCAAAGCACAAACAGCAGTGAGAGCACGGCAGAAGAAACTCTCCCAGCACCCAGATCCTCACCGTGGTAACTGAGCGCCAAGGCCTTGCTTTGAGGAACTCAGGGTTTATTTGTTCTGCATAGGGCAGCTGTAACCAGTGAGAGTCATACTGACACAAAGGACCCAGCTGTACGGCAATGAGGATGTGGGAAATCACAGTTCAGGTTCCATCCTCTGAATCACGAAGGGCAGAGAAATGCTTGCCCTGTTTGCTATTGCATCCATCTTGCTTCTGCCCATCCTGTACTTTGGAAAATCTGTGCATGTTCTCCCCACATATTTTCAGTCCTGACTAAAGCCATGGTTGCTAGAAACATCTTGGATCAGAACAGCACAGACAAAGCATTACAGAGCATTTAATGGAACACAACACAGTTATACACTCCTCATACCTGAAATGAAGAAACACTGTATTGATTTACAGCTGGCCTTACCTTTTCTCATGAATTTCAATTGGAGTTTTAGTTTCGACTTCAAAGAGAATGTGACTGAGCCCAACATACCACGCAGTTGAGTAATTTGAGCCAATGAGAAAACAATTTCATAACCAGGCAGACTACTGGCCTGACTGAAGCGACAGCTCACAAACTTCTATCACACAGAGGCACTGTAGCAAAACCAAGGATGCTGCAGCAATGACCATACATGAGTACCAAAAAAGAAAAGGGAGCAGGAGGGAAAGAAGGCAAATGATGCTAAATGACCAAATCCCATAAGTACTACAGAAGAGATTCAAGAAAGGCCATAAGTACCACTGCAGGATGCAGTACAGCAAGCTGACAAGACAAGCATTTTAAATGCAACAACAGGTTAAAAGAATACATTTCCCTGCAGCTCTACCTCTGCACATCTTTTCACAGGAAAAGGTCAAAACGTAACAAAGGATATCGCAGTATTGAGAGCAAATTTAAAAACAGACTTCAGAATTCTGGTGACACATATAGTACAGTATATAAAGTAACTAGACTCTTCAAAAAGGGCATAGAAAAGATACTACACTGGAAAGTTAACATAGCTTCTACTAATCTAACTCAACAAGTCCCAGTACACACACACACACAATCTTAAAAAAAAAAAAAAAAAAAAAAACCAGCACAAAATTGCTTGCTTAAAATGTCATTTATTTGTACTTTAAGCAGAGGATCTTAACACAGAAATGCACTGCTATGCCTCCTTGGGAGCTATAAACAATTGGTGCACTTGTCAAATAAAAATACACAGGAATTAAATGATACAAGAAAGCTACATAGTTCCTTACAGGTACACCCACGTTGCACAGGTGTACACATGCATACACTCACAGAGCAGTTTCCAGTTTCCACTTGTAAGAAAAAGAAATGATAGCAAAGCTATCTAAGCCCACTTTATAATATACAGGCAAAGAACCTAGAAAAACTCTCACCTTTTAGAAACGCACCCAAGCGCTTCCTACTCTGGCAGTTCTTTGTTGTACAACATGCATTTGTAACCTGATGCTTTCTTAAATGGCTTTGGGCTAAAAGGAGGTGCTCAGCAGCTCTTCATGTAAAGCCCCTACTTATCTACCTTCAGCAAGTTCAAGTATAACATAGCAAATCAAAAACCTGAATATTTGACGCTGATACAGCAAGGTCTTGGTTACATGCTCAATTTTATGCACTGCATATAAGGCCTACCAACTAGAGACAGAATTCAGAGCATCAAACAGCTGCTGGGTTAGGGCTTGCTTTCACACAACCAGGACGCAGTTCTTTGGGCTGCACCCTGTTGTTTCTTTGTCACTGTGAAAGGAGATTTGTTGTTAGCAACACATTCAGGATTGTTGGAGTTTCTACGAATTTCCAGAAAAAAATGTTGGTTTTCCTTTCTACATTACAATGACACTCCTCAGTGTGACAGACCACTGGAAATAAGTAAAATATGAAAGGAAGGGGAAAAGAGGGTAAGGCCCATCTAAGTATTTACACATTCCATTACTGAAATAATGGATGGCTAATTTACATGAATTAACCACAAGTACAAAATAGGAAATAAATGAAAACTGGTTTCTAAATAAGATTAATATTAGAGCCAACTACTGTTAAAATCAAATACAATATGGTTTAGGAAGCTGTAATGGAATATAAATTAATAATTCCAACAATAAAAACCAAAGTTAATTGTTTTAATACATTTTGGAGAGCTCAAATTACAGCTTCCCCTGCCCCCCCAGAAAAAGCACAGCAGGAAGAATCCTCCCCTTCTTCTGGCAAGTGGTTATTATACTAACAGGAGTCTTCATGTTAAAGCATATACTTCATATATTTTAATAGCTCTTTCTGAAAATAACGTAGCACCTCCTGTAAACATAAAAAGCACTGCTTTGATCCCTAAACATTTTATATGTAATAATGCCTTTGTTTTGTAATGAATTCCATTCCTTCATTTTAACGTGCCCACAGCCAGAGGGTTCTGCTGAATCATAGTTACACAGTCACAGCTTTCTAAACTCCCAGACTTAGCACCAGAGCTAAACCGCCTGGGCAACAAGGCTTTTGCTCTGCAACTTTCTCTGGCTTACAGACACCACGGAAATGAGGCATTCAGAATGGCCAGCATGCGTCTCATCTATCCTCATTCGACCTAAAGTCAGCTTTACTCTGGTATTTGAAAATAAAATTAAAAAAAAGCAAACTAAGACTTCTTTATGTTCTCCTTACTGCCAACTTCAAAGGCTTACCTCTTATCACAGACTTACATTATCTTTAACTTCTCAAAACAGCACACAGAGCTTCCCCTTCATCGCCTCCTGGTTTTTGAAGGTTAGTTTGGGTTACATTTTCAAACTCCACTGTATCCAGAAACGCTTTCTTTTTTAAGCTGTAACTAAATCTTCAATTGAAATAGTAAATAAGACAAGCTGTGGGAGAGGGTAACATCTACACTTCAGTTTAAATGTCTCTGGTTCCCATTATGAAACTCTGGGCTTTCCATCAAAATAAGTGCAGAGGTGCCTCTGTCCTTTACGAGTCCGTTTACACTAATGTGGCAAAGCCTTTAAGATAACATCTCTGAGTCACAGAACATGCACAAACTGTTGATTGGAATTTGCAGCACAGAGGTGAGAGCAGACTGATTCTGTTTGTTCTGTGCTGTTTAGGACCAGCACAGGCCTGCACTGCAGCTGCTAAGACACAAGGCTCCCTATCTTAACACCTTCTTGACTCAGATGATTCTGCAGCAATGCAGTGTGCCATGTTGTGTCTTTCACACATCACTCTTACGGATGTGTCACAAACACTTTCACACCTCTCGCACTTGGAAAAAGATGCTTGCCATGTCATTTGAAGCTATATTCCATACACAGTAGCTCAAAATGCCACTTCTTTGTTGAGCTTAAGTTCAGAACGAACTCTTGTATAAGTTGGAAAAAAAAAAGTTATAGTGAATATTGCTGCTCTTAAACAAAGTAAACTCATAAAGTGAGAATCATCAACTCTTCCTGTTGCAACCAAAAAGAAGGAAAAAAAAAGACAATCAACCAGGAAAAGAACGAAAGGACTGTTTAGGTGGATCTCCAGGACTTCTTCAGACTTCATAATTTCAGAGAGCTACTAGGAAATTGATTAAGGATTTTTTTTTGTCTGAGTTTAAGACAAAGAGTGACATCCTTCATTTAAATGCTTTAAGACATCCAGGCACAAGCCACCTAGGTGCAAGTTTCACGTAAAAATACAACTACATTTAGTATCTGTGGTTGGCCCCCAGGTAGACAATGACACGATTTTCATACACCTTCTTCATAGTTTTCTCAATTTGCTTCAAAAATACTTGTGGAATTCTCCCACATAAAGTGTGCACTGTATCCAGGAACTTAGACTGAAGAGGATAGTACAAAGACTGGAAGAGATTGTCTTCAAATGGAAACTAAAGAAAAATAGAGAAAAATAGTTATTAGTTTTTAGTCCAGCTCTCCTTTTGGTAAGGACAACAGTGGGGGGATACTGCAGTGTTTTAAAAGAAGGAAGAATTCTGGAACTTGAGCACAAATTCACATATCTACCCACATGCAGGTTATGTTTAACTACATTAGCTGGTGACAGTCTCTTACTTTGCATGTGGACCAGGAAGTCTACAGCTTCCTCTCAAAGAGGAAATATGGACCTGTGTCTGTATGCAAGCTACTGAAACAATTCTCTGCCTTCTATGTGCACAGAGGCTCCAGCAGCTTTGGGAGTACAAGATTTTATTGGGCATTTATGAACCAGGGACACTGTGCCAGCAGAAAGAACTCCATCCAGTTACTTCTCCATCCAGTACTACAGAAAAGCAATTCAACAGACTTTCTGATTACACGTGTACCATAACATGAAGGGCTGTGAAACAGGACAGACCACAGCGCCTTTGTCAACTTGTGACTGATGGGCATGCTCAGCTCCATCTGCTGTAGAGACAATCTGAGTGACTTGGCTAAAGCTACAATCCTCTATCAAAATACAAGACTTACATCACGTATCACTTCGTAGAGTGCCTTGAATGTAGGCTGCTTATCATCATGGTAGACACCTCTATTTCCATGCAGAATAGAGACACCTTCTTCTTCTGCACCTTTACAGTTACTTCCATACATACAGTGGTCAGGTCGGTAGTTCCACTGACATGGAAACACATAGAGACACTCTACCAATGTCAGTCAGAGGCAATGGGGAGGAAAAAAAAGAAAAAAAACACATTAAATGAGTTCCAAGTTAAATTGTGTTTCTGTAGAAAAGTGGGGACTGATGGTCAGGAAGAAAAATATGCAGTTACTTCCTTTATAAAGGTCCAAAGCAGCAACTAGACATAAAAGCTTCCTTTCCTCTGAGGATGGCTACCCCTGTCTCACCACTGTCGGACTGGAACTAGCCAAAAGAGAAGGCAATGCAAAGACTGGGTGCAAACAAATCAAGAGTTCATTTTACGAAGTTAAAAATGACTAAATCAAATCTAGAGAATGTGGCTCTGTTCAGAGTTTTCTGCCCTAGGAAGAAGTTTTGAGAGTTACAGAAGTGTTAGGCAAGCACACAGCACTCACTGTTTTCCAGAATCCTGAATCCTTCTGGAGACAGCAGCAAAAGCTTGCAATGCACATCCAGTGTTTGCTGATGAATCTCTCACTGAAGCTACAACAATTTTTTATATGGACACAAAGCAGAGCACAAGAGGTGCTATATCTTATACAGTTTTCTGTTAAGTTTTAAGATCTAGGCTATTTTAAAGATGAGTCTAACTTCTCAAGAGAGCCTTGAAGCCTACTAATCTTCTTTTTAAGTTTCCTTCATGCAAAGTATTTGCAATATGCTTACAATAAATCATGCCAGTGCCTGTGATCCTTTTGCTATAGAAATGGAGTACAATGAATCACTGCACTGTGTTGGCAGTCTCTGCCAGAAGCACTGAAGATTGAATTCTCCACTTGGCCTTTCTTAGCTTCCCAGAAAGTCTGCAGCTGGTCCTGTGTGATTACTGAGGAAGTAAGAGAACACTATTCTGAAACACTTCTTCCCCTAAGGCTCTCCAGCAGAAGACTGCTCCAAAGAGAGTGAATTGTAAGTGGTTTCTGTTCAGTATGACCTATCACACATCCAGAATTGCTCCCCAGTGTTGCTAAAAGCTCAAGAGCTGCAGTGCACCAATCCAAACCCTGCTACAGTTAACAGGGACCTTCCAGTAAGCCTGAGCAGATGTTTGTGAGCACAACTCCTCAGCAGGTTACTATGGGGAGAGGATGTCATCAGGTGCTTATCAGCTTATTACATGCCATTTCATTATTCTTGATCTTCTCACCATGGCTCTTCCACACACTTTTTGCTGTCACAGCTGGACTTGGACCCCAGCTGCTCTACAATCCCTCAAATACATTAATCATCAAAGCAGCTTTGGGAGACAGGAAGAAGGGTGCATCTTTTCAGATGCCAGGTAACACAGATCCACACAGTTTTAAGCCAGCACACTGTATCCATAAAAAGCCACCTGCAGCAGTCTCAGGCGATTTCTTCCCAGGCCAGTTTTAACAATCCAACAATTTACCTCCAAAGTCTGCTCTGCTGTTTTAGTAGCATCCAGTTACTTGGCTTTCTTTTTCTTGTCCTGTCTAATGCTTGTTTGTAAAACAATTATTTACAAATTACAAGGAGAAGGCACACCACAATAAGGAAGAGAATGCTGATCATATTATTGTTTTCTTCCTCCTCCACACTAAAATTAGCAGCATGAGTTTGACTTCACAACTAATCTGATTTCATGTCCTTCCTCCAAAAGACTCTAACATTTGTGTTGATTTTTTTTTTTTTGAAGTTAATTTATAATATCATAACAAAGATTTGTTTCCACTTTATTTTTCCCCAAGACCGAGACTAGCACATAGCACACTGAGGACACTGATGTCTGGCATCAGATTGCAATAAACAAATGTTAGCTTGCTTTGCTTTCCCTTAGGTTAGCTGCTTTTGACTACATCCAATTACATATACTGCGATTCCTTAGAACAGAAGAAAAGAAGATGGAGTAAATAAAGATAAATCCAATCTGATTCTGTTCTTAAGTTCACCTGAGGGAATACAATCCTGGCCGTGCTTACACATTACCTTCATGCCAGAGTACACTATGCATATCGAAGTAACAAAAAGCACTTCTTTGCATTTAGCAGAGTCAATAAATGTTCTTAGTGCAGGTAAACATCACTTCAAGCAAGCTTACTTACCTGGGTTAAAGTAAAAAATAATATTTAGTAAATCCTGGTCTCCCCATGTAATGTAGTTTTTGTACTTTTGATACAGTGGGTATAACATTTCCTCCCAAGTCAAACCACTCGGTATCACGCTGTTCTGCAGGACAGAAAAACAAAAACAGTGAATTACTGCTGTCATTGTTGATCTGATGTACGAATCAGAGCACAACAACCACATATCTCTAAGTCTGCAAAGCCACGTCAAGATAGCTAGAAAAAAAGAACTGCTAGGAAATACTGCTCTGGTTAGGGCTGGAACAGCGAAGCTGATTGTGCTCTATTCATCTGATTAAACAGGAAATGAAAGTTGTGCTTTGATGTCAGCTCCTGTTATTCAGAACCTTCCTATACTGAGCAACACCAGGGAGAAGTGGAAAATAAGTGCAGGGATGAGCTGAAAATTGAGGTGGAGAGGTGAGAAAAAAAGCAAACTGAAAATTATTGTCCTTTCTTAGGGAATTCTGACATTAAGAGCAAGTTGGTTTAATTTTTTTCAATCAAATTGCTCCTGAAACGTTATAGGCAACTTCAGGCCTTGACTGAAGAATAAGATCCCTCAGGGGCAAATTAAGTTTAAGAGGTTACAGAGCACACATTCAACAAAACAAGCAAGGTTTATCACGATAAGCCTTCCACAAAGAAGAGATGTCAGTTTAGGCAGTGAAAACATTCCCTTTTCATTTTTATCATTTCACAAAATCATTCTGCCTACAGCAGAAAACAACATTTTATTCACTTTTGATGCAAACAATTACCAATTTATCTGGATATTTACATCAAGCTTCTCGATTTTAAAAAACAGTGATTACACTGAAGGTCCCTGAAATTATTCTTTAATGTACCTGTGGAGAGAGAGTGAAATGCTGAGGAAGTCAGTTTCACTACTGCAAGGAGACTGCTTCATCAGCAAGACCTCAGCACTTCAGCCTCATGAGGATATTTCTCATGTTTTAACAACCATTCTTATTTAATACCAAAAGAATTGCAATATGCATTCCTTATTTTTCAGATTCTTCATAACCTAAACTGTATTTATTTTCGTACTACATTTGAAAAGATGTGAAGAATCCACAAGTCACCAGTTACTGCAACAGCTGTATTTCTTCTCACCCTGAACTGAGTGTTGCGTATCCGTGTTAAATTCATTAGCATCACTCCAGAATTGACTCCAGTTGTCCCATAATACGGGTGACGTGCAAATCGACTGTACCAGCCAATCTTTGGTATCTCGTGCTCTGGGGCCATAGCAGCTAGCTGCGTTGAGTTGAATTCTTTCAGGATGTGCCAGATGTCATCGATGGGCCTCAGGAAGAGAACATCGGTGTCCACGTAAAGGAGAGAATCCACATCCTTTAAAATAACCTTTGGGTTTGCACAGTGAGAAGAGATGAAAAAGAAACCAAGCAGATAACAAAAAGGAAGATTACTGGCGAAAGGTACTTCTACATTAAAGTGCTCGTATAAAGTAAGTTGCTGATTTATCATCTAAAATGATGATCTCCTTTCTTTACAAGGAGAGTGGTTAGGCCCTGGAACGGGCTGCCCAGGGAAGTTGTGGATGCCCCGTCCTTGGATGTGTTTAAGGCCAGGTTGGACAGGGTCCTGGGCAACCTGATCTGAATGTGTGTGTTTGGTGGCCCTGCTGGGCAGGGGGGTTGGAACTACATGATCCTTGAGGTCCCTTCCAACCCGGGTGATTCTGTGATTCTGTGTAAAATGTAATTACATACAGGAACAATTCTTATTACAACCATGTGTTCCTACACAAAGAAACTTACATTCAATGTTAACACATAAACATGTTTTACATTAATTAAGAAAACCTTATTAATCACAAAAAGGCATCACTGTACTCCTGAAGAACAAAACATCCCTTGGTGAGTAGAAGTGTTCTATTAAAACTCATCAGGTCAGATCTCTGCTATCAGACTATATCAGGAATAACAGTAAAGTTAGTCAAGTTGCAGGGGTGTAAATGTAAATTAGATCCAGAATATTTCATCTATTCTTGTTAACAATGTTCCCCCTTGTGGCTATCCAGGTGCTTACATGCTCATTCCTTAATTTCAGCAGGGCAAATTATATGTTGCTTCAATAATTGAGAAAACTCCCAGCTGTCTGCAGCAGCTGTTTGGAAGGTAGTAAATATCACTTGCTCAGGTTGACCATCAGGTTCAACTGAACTTTTGTTGCTCTTCATTATTTCAGAAAACCATTCAAACATTCCTGGATTTTTACCGTGCTCTCATCTCCAAACCTCATTTCTCTCCTTCTCTACTTGAAAAGCAAATCCAAAGGGCTATTGATTTGCACCAGGTGTTGGACTGGAACCATCGGTCACTTGTCTGATTGCAGTGATACTAATGACCACCTCTCCTATTTACAGATAACTTAATACTACAAAACAAATTGATTTTTTACATGAATTGAAATGTATTGTGACAAAGGTTATTTGTGAAAGACAGAGAGAACAATTAGATTTTGAAAAAGTATTCTGCTCACTTGATAAGATGTGGTCAACAGACATCCATCACATTGCCAAATCTGTGAATACTGATCAAGTGAGATTTTTCACCTGATGGAGCACTTTACAATTTGAACTGACATTCAGCCAAGTTTAACAGATTCCTGACATAACTACACGTCCTTCCTACATAGCAGGGCAGGCAGAAGGCAAATGTCTGTACGTCTGGCTTACAACAATCTCCATATAAATAAGTCCAACACAGTCCAGAACACTTCACTGCACAGCAGGTTGTAGCAATACACTGTCAATAATTCTTCGACACAAAACAGCACGCGAGGGTATCAATAAATGAGTGACATTAACTCAGTAACACAAAGAGCTGAAGTCCAATACTTCACCAAAAAAATCACTATCAGTCAGCAGAGGACGGGTAGTTGAAAAAAAATAAAAGAATTTTTAGCTTAGGGATATTCTTAATACTGCATCTTATTATGTAGCACCGACAAGACCTAATCCATGAAATGAAAGCATAAGGAAAAATCCCCCCAAATTTAGTCCAAGATGGGAGATAACACTCAAACAGCACGATAAAAAGCCATTAGATTCTGCCTGAGGGACAGCAGCACTGCAGAGCAAATCAGGATTTTTATTTTATTTTTTTAAATAACGCCCCAGCAGAGACAGATTTAGGCATTTCCTAGCAGAGAATTAAGGGGAGAGTTCAACACGTGCACTTGGGAGCCCCTCTCAAACCTAACTGTCAGTGTGAGCCTCTTCCAGAAGAAAATCTTAGGGCTTTTTTCCAGTAACTGCAAACATACACATAAAGCTCATTCTGTGAAAGTCAAAGGACTGTAATAGCTTTCCTGTGTATAAATAGATCCAAGCAAATTTTCCAGTTTTGTGCAGTGGGTACCTCAACTCCATGCTTTCCACCTTGTCATCCTACACTTGGATTCATACACCCTCCTTTCCTGGTCTGCCAAAAGATTCCTGTTTCTCTCCTGTCCAAGCTGCTGCCCTGCAGTGACAACAGGCTGGAAGGAAAGCAGTGCTGCTCTTTATAAGCCCTTCACACTTTCCTCTTCACATGCAAAGTGTTAAGACTTATCTAAAACCTACCTGTCAGTTTGAATTGATCACATCTCCTTCTGGCTGTGCATTTAACTTAGCTTTGGGTGGAAGAATTTAATTTCAGAAATCACAACTCTAAGAGATCCTTGCTTAACTCCCTGGATTTCAGTGGAATTACACAGTGGATAAAAGTTCATTTAAATAATTCTGGCATTCCTCTTGTCCCACAGCTTTCAGGTAGTTCTATTTTCAAACATTACGTTCCAAACCTACATACAGCTTTCTGAAAAATGTTATGCTTTCCACAGAACTCAAAACAATATTTAACTTCTAATGAATCAAAAGCAAATGACAGAAGATTGGGTATTTTTGGCTGCTGATTTTTGATGTCAGGAACAGCCATGCAACACAAAGCAGGTGGAGGTAGCAGACCTCAATTCTTGGGCTCTGCCCCAGTCAGGGCAACTGACTGCAGCTTAAAACAGATGCACATCTGACCTGCAACAGAAGCAATGCAGGACTGCCTGGTACCCTGAGCTTGCCTGCTGGCACAAACCACGTAGACATGCCTGACAGTCAGAAATATGGGTTGACTGCACTTATCTCCTGCACTATGGGCACTTACTGCTTGAGAGGGGTGGTGTTTTTTTCCAGCAATGGGGAGTATTCTTAGTAAATCAGAAGTTCTGTACAGAACTTGCTATATTTAGCCTGACACTTCACTTAAATACTCAATTATCTGTAATTTCACAACTTCTGTCTCTGTCGAGTCTCCTGTGTTAGCAAGACTGGCAAGTAATAACATGCTACTGCGTGAACACATATTGGAATATTGAGAAGTTGTGTTACATGATGGCTTGCAACAGCTAGTGTGTTAATTTAGCTGAGCTTTATCCAAAATTACAGATGAATCAGTGAGCCACAATTAAGTTTGCATCTTGATGCTAATGTAGTACTGCAAATTAGAGTTACTAAACTGAACTGTAATTAGCAATTAACTCAAGTTACAACAGAATTTTGTCTCAATAAGGCCCTTACATCTATCCCTGGTGTTACTCCACTGATCCATTGGGTAGATTACTTCTTCATTCTCAAGAGAACGTGGGGATAATGTTAGCCTACCTTCAGTAGATTCAGTTTCTTGAGAAAAGCCTCAAGTGTTAGTCACTACTACAAATAATATCACCCAAAAATCCCAAAATGTTTATTTTACCTGGTTGTTCAGCAGTTCTGTATTGCTGTCTTAGAACCAGCTGAAAGTCAGCTCTGTGGTGCAACATTCATCAAGTCAGAACACACTGTGTTTTAACATCAGTGTTAATACTACAAAACAGTTTAAATGTCACAACTGTGCTCTTATTAAAAAACAGATATTTAGGATTATCCTTAGGAATCTTTATGGTCTGTCCACCCCAAGCTACCCAAAAACCAGAAGAAAATACGGTGTTGGCTGATAATTTACTTATTGGGGTGTAAGAAGAAGAAGCCAGGAAGGAGAAAAAGCCATTACCCATTTGGCATACAAAAGGAACTGAATAAAAATTAAGAAGTCTTAGTTTCACATACACTTCCTGCATAATTTTTGGGATAGAGAATAAAAGGAATTTTCCAGTTTCTACAGACATGAACTACACACAACACTGACATGGATGACAAGGCTACTTGAACACTCAACAGGCTGCATTTTGCCAACCTTCCTCGCATTGCACAACAGCTTTCTCAGGCCGTGCAGAGCTGCCCATCATCACCACATCTCTGAATTTGACAGCACATGAAAATAAGTTCTACTCAGTAAAGAAATGTTTACCTTTCTGTATTCAGAAGATGTCAGGTGACTGCTGACAGCATTCTCCTTTAGTTATTTTTTTTTAAAGTTTCATCTTTTTTAAGCATTTAGAAGCTGTGTTAGGATCCACATCTTCCTTACTCTGCCTTTGAAGACCACATTGATGGTTTTATTGAAACCGACTGCAGCAAGATATTTGACTTCTGAGTTTCCATGGAACCTACCTACTCAGAAACGACTTCCTCTGCATTTGTGTAGCAAATGTAAGATTAATGTCACAGAATGCCTCTACAAAAAAGCAGGCTGCCATCATCTTACTAAATATTTGAGTAACTCGAGCTGATTCAACAAACTGCAAATACATTCATTTACCTGTTACCCAGCACAAACCAATTCATTAGTACAAGCTGCAGGATCACATCCCATAGCTCCAGTTTTATCAGCCAGTGAAACCCCTGAAAGATTCTCACACAATTTTCCTTTAACACATTCCTCATCCCCTCCTGCCCACTTTCACATGCCTGCTGGTGCTGCTGAAGATTCTTTGGCAGGAGAGGCACTTGTGAATCAAAGGCTCACATTCCACTCAGGCTTAGCATTATCAGGAACAAGACAATTTGCACGACTGAGGGCTAAACAGCTGATAAACTCAGCTACTGCTCTTCTGGGATCCTTCCTAAATCCAGTCATTTTCCACTGCTGTGGTAGAAAATGCTGAGCACAGGAAAGGATAAGCAATATATGCAAGTCAAAACAGTCCTCTGAACAACAGCACTAAAGATTATCTGCTCCCACCATGTGCAGACAGGGCTTTTGCAGCACTTATTCAAAGGGATATCAGAACCTGGTTATCAAATAACAGTAAAAATAATGGTGGCTGAAATTACTCAGACTGAGGCTGTGGACTTGAGCAGCAGAAATCTAAGTGAACACTTACCGCCTCAGCTATCACTACCACTCATTTTCCTCATTATATCCACATCATCTTAGCATCAGCCACTGCTATTCTCAGACAGCTATGCCTACTGAACGCCTTAAACCTCAGCCTGGCTACACACAACATCTTGCAACTGCCCCAAGAGAAACAAACATTCACCATTTGGTCTGCTTCACAGTTCTCCTAAGAAAACATGCAATGATCTAATAATATTCCTTGCAAGAAGTTACTAGGGAGCACTAAACTTTAGAAATGGGGCAAAGCAACAAGGAAGGAGTCAGAAAAGCACTGCCCAGCTTAAATGAATCAGCATGAATGCATAACTCTCTATCATCAGAAAGCTGATAAAGCCATTTCTGTGACAAGTGTCTCTACCAAAATGACAAAAATACTGCAGATATAGGAAGAGCAGAAAATTGTGTTTACCTAGTGAAAACAGCTCCAGATGAGTAAATCCTTACAACCAATCTGTACAGAACAAACTAACACTGAAGGACTATTTTCCAGGTGATATAAATATTTACTCAGGGAACAGAGGATCCCAGTTGAAGATGGAATTACTTCCAGCCCATCTGGCCTTCGTGCATTTGAAAGCCCAGCCCTAAACAGCAGATAAACAGAACTGCTGACAGCACATATTTTCTCACATATGTATTCATAGTCTAAAGTATCTGACACGCAGCTGTCCCCTGATTGTTTCCATCTGAGAAAGTAAAGATTTCTTTGTCCCCTGTTTCTCAGAAGATGGCAGTGAAGAGATCTGGACTGTGTGAGCAGCATGTCGCTTCACTGGAGTCACCCCAACCAACCAGCAGTGCACGATATTTGGATGTCTGGTCTCAATTCCACAGAAACTGCTTCATTGCATAAACTCTGCATATGCAGAACTGTTACCAACACGTTACTTCACTCCAGCAGCCTTAAGTATTTTCCAAATTTACAACTCTAAGAATTATACAGCAAAGAACACAAGTTCTCTGTGGACATGAGTGTTCCATAGCACATGAGGCATGTGCGTGAGATCTGACCTCGCATACACTGGAACTATTCCATAAGGACACACGTTACACTCTCACACAAGGGAAGAGATTACTGAAAGCATCATTCTGAGGACCAACATAAGGAGAGGGAGATAGTGGATAAAGAGATACAATGACTGCACACTGAAAAGAATGTTATTTATGGAAGGCATGCAGCATCTACCCTGCAGGAGCTCTCACACTGAGTCTTAAGTGGAAGTTCAACTGAGAGCCTATTGGAACTAGAGACAAATAAGAAACATATTCCCCACTAGCAGAAAAAAAAGCTAGGCTGGATTTCTGGTTTGTTTTTTTTAAGCAGCAAAGTAGAGATTAAAACATCTTTAAGCAGATGTTTCAGCCCAGAAATTGTTTTAATATTACACCAGCAAAGTTTCCTTCCTGTGGAAATAATCTTTTCTTTTTCCCCCTTCTTTTTTCTCTCCCTCCTGAAGCAACCTACTCAGAAAGCCAGGTGCCTTACCGGAAGAAAAAGGCGCTGGGCAGCACATGGTTTGAATAACTTCTTCCATTCCTGAGCATTTCCTACTGAGAAGGTTATTGGGTAAATGTTGTATTCAAATTTCTTTGTATACGAGGAGGGCCATTCCTGTAACTGAAAGACATTCACAGAAGATTAGACAGTACATATTATATAAGGTGTTGTTTTTGTTGTTAATATGCATGTACAGGGAATTTAGAAACCACTTCCAGTAATAAAATGCTTAGCTGTTACTTGTTGATGCCAGCGCAGTTGTGCTCAGGGATCTGCAGCTTATAACTAACCCACGTATTGATCTACTGAACAACACAGAACTCACTTTCTTGTTGAATTCAGGCTTAAGGGAATCCTCAGAAAAAATGTGAAAGCAGAGCCTCCTGTTGCTGAACAGAACTGCTGATTTCAGCATGATGAGAGTCTCTTCCAGCCGGTCCCCACAAGCCACAACTGCCAGATGCATGCACTGTAAAGATGAAGGCTCTTTTGAACGTTTTTGTTCTCCAGGCTTCCTGAAAATTCATAAATAGACAAAAATAAATTGAGGCAAATGTGAAGAGATTTCTGCACCAAGATCTGTTTCCTTTTTTCCTTTCCATCGTGTAGAGGATCAGGAGGTTTTTTCCCTGATTAGACATCCACAGAAAATGCAATTGGGTGCCTGTTCTGTCAGTGGTACAAACCAAGTACTAAAATTACTTCACAAATAAATACACTATTTTAAGAATTTTCCTACCTTTCTGATCTTGCATAAATCACACTACACCCACACATGAAACCAATTCAACAGCACTGCAAACCAGACCACAGCTTACCAAGTGTTTTCCTTCCTAGCTTTGAGGTTACACAGCCAGAATGGCCAGTCTTCAAACACAATGCAGGTTACAGAACTACAGCCAGTAATTTCATTACCAGGATCACAACTTCTGGCTAGATTGGAATAAGACAACTAGTCCTTACTTTAAAAAAAAAAATCATCCATCCACATGTAAATTATTCTAACAGTTAATTTTGCTTTTAAAAATGCATGCCTTAATCCTGGCCTGAAGGTATTGGCATTGTTTCAAAGGACTGCTCTGCATTTTGCTGGGTGGAATCCCTGAGATTTGGCTAAAATACGGATTTTTTTTCAAAACAAACATATTCATCTGTCCCAGATGAATCAGACTACATTCCACAAGCAGCCTAAGGCAAAGCTGTAGGTTTTTCCACTTTGCCCCCATGTGCAGGCTTTAACACAATTTTACCTAGCCTGAATCTGCACAAACACAGCATATTCAGGCTATTTGCTACTCAGAAATATCAGAGTCCTTTCTGGGGACTTGGAGACATTTTGAAAATATGGCCTTTTGTTTTTATGCCCTCCCCTGCAGTCAGGACAGAGGTGAAAATCACATCCTCTGAGAATGATGCTACTGCACTGTACTCACATTCCAACAGATGGCATTTATGCTCCTCTGGATGGATTAGTAGTGACAAAGTAAGGAAGTCACAAGCACTGTAATCATTACAGTAAAGTTTGAAGGCTAATCATAGCTTGCTAGCAGCTCTTGAAACACCACTGAACAGAGGATATCAATCCCTGCCTGTTCTCAGCACACACAATTATATATATATAACTAATCAGTGAAGTTAACACTATTAAACAAAAGCTCTAAATAAAAATTATAGTTAATAAAGCTGTCATTATCTTCTCCAGACATTAAAGTGCTACTCAGTATAACAGCAGCCTTCTCTACAATGGAGTAACCAACTTTTGTGTTAACAAATGCCAAGTAGTGGTACTTTACCTGCTATACAAGCAATGTGTTTCATTAATGCTTTAAAGTCTTGGGCTATAGTCTTAATTAAACTTCAATTTTATCAGTGTGTAAGTAATAGAATACCACATCTACATAAAGTGGTATTTACTTTCCAACCTATTAGCGTAAAAAACACTGAATTATTAAAGTGAATAATTAGCTGCTCACACAGACCCTGCTTTCCCCCACCCCCTATCTCTTTAATGTTTCCTCTTAATTGAGTCTCTAAATCAAGCCATATGCAAGATGAGAACTGCTTGAGCAGGGCCTGTGGCAGTAGAATTCACTGGGAGAGGGACTGAACTCAGAGCTTGGACTTCTCACAGCCCTACACCAAATCACTAAGTCTTTGTTTTGCAAATTTTAGCCACAGTGAACTCCAACCTGCAGCTATTGCACATTGACAAACTCAGTATATGCATACAGGACTTCCAAAGGACAGACTCAGCAGAAGAAATCCACTGACAGCAGCAGACAGTCCTACAAGCCCATGGGGGGCACGGATGAACAAGAGGAGCACCTTCTGCCAACACAGACACCTTCCTGGCCCCAGAGAGGAGGAGAGAGCTGGGCTCTGGAGTCATTACAAATCATGAGAACCTGACATTACTGGGAATAAGAAGATGAAAATAGCAATGAGGTACAAAAGAACATTGAGAGATCACAGCACAACATTTTGTATCTTTAAGTACATTAGGAAACCAAGAGGACTGTAAGAACAGAGACGAGCTAGAAAGGGAGATAAGAAAGCGCCACAGCAGGAAGCGTTTACAAATATCTCAGCTTAGTCTTTACAGAATCTTTATTATCCGAAAGCCTTAAAAGAAAAAAAAAAAACAAAAAACACCAGGACTACAGAAAAAGTTAGACTTCAGGGAAGGCAAATGTGAGGATCTTTGCCACCCCGCTCTTCGTCTTCTTGATTCAGTACACAAGGGTATCTCACTGATATATTAGAAGTCTAACTAAAATAACATTACATCACACTGTCCTGCTCCATTCTCTATTTTACCCATCTGTTTAGAGAAAATTATTTCCTGTTCCCCTGTTACATTATTACATGCATAGCAACTGAACAGATCAATACAATAGGAAAGACATTACAACAAAGGCACGATGACAAAAGGACTGGCACAATAGAGAGGTGCCATAAAGGAAGGGAGGAATATTGCTCACCTGTATTAGAAGACTCCAGGTTTGTAGGGAAAAGCTTCAACCAAGGAGAAATCTCCAGAAAGAGACCCTTCCCCAGAGAGGGTCCTTAAATGAGGTCTAAGAGAGGTGCAGCCAGGCTCCACCCCTCCAGTCTCACAGCTGAATTGCCTTCACCTGTGCTCCCAGGGCTGACCTGGTCCTTTCCCCAGATGCTCAATCAGTGGTTCAGGCTGTGGCTCAACAGTTCCCAGCCACATGGCTTCAAAACTAAACACTTGCTTAAGACTAAGCATTGCAAAAAGCATAACAAAATAATTGCAGAATAGATCCCCGTGAAACAGCTGAAGCCTGACCCGGTGAGATGTAGCACAATACAGTGCTATAGCAAAGACTTTCCAACAAAACAGACCAACTCCCATCCAGTTACCCAATGGCATTTTATTCACTGCATACATTTTTTTCTGACAGGCACGGTTACGGACATCACAGAAGCCTGAGTGCTCAAGCACAACAGCGTACATTCCTAGGCCTTAAAGTTTAGATTACATGCAATTTTCTTATTAGTCACAGGCAAAGTGTCTCAAACATAATTAACCCAAAACCTGTCTAAATCAATCCAGATCCATTCAAAATAACACATTCCCATCTCATTACGGAGCCTGCTAATCTATTCAAGACTTCAAATTTATTCCAGAGAGAAAGATAATGCATGCAGATTCTTACAAAATGCAATATAGTTGTTAGCTTTTGAAACCTTCTTCTTATTATGATCTCATTTGCTCTCGCAGCGTAAACAAGGTTAGATTTGGGCAATGTATCAAAACGAGTGATTCACTAAATGGGCTCCTTTCCTGAGAGTCAGCGCTGAGTCAATGCCCCAACTTTGGCTCTGTTATATGAAACACGTTCTCTCACTCTCTTTAAAATATAAATTAGAAAGTGTCAAAATGTTTTTAAAATAAAAGTTCTCACTTTAATGCAGTTGCATAAAATCCACTGTAGGCACTGGCAATAAAAAGAACTGTTGAAATTTCAACCTCCTCCCACTGCTCAGGCTAAGAGGGAAAACAAACCAGAATGAATGTTTCCATCTTCTTTTATCAAGAATGTTCTTTGTTAGTGAAGTGTGAGGCATTCGGGCCATCAGCATATTATGGCCTATCAAACTCAAGCCAAACTTGCATGTGTCTTGCACACAGGCAGCAGAGAGAAAAAAATATCTTGACCGGTTGCCATAGAAGATATGTTTAGCTTTGGCAAAGTTTCTATTAAGCATGCTTAGTTTAGGAAGAAAGTGTGGTCACATCTGCCCTTCAAATGTAAAAGAACTTTTGTGCTTCACGATACCTCACACACATTGATCTGGCACATACGTGTACTTCTTCATATGAAGAAGATCCTGTTGAAGCCCCAGGACCTGCCACTTCCAAAAGGAATCATCAGTAAAACCACCATCAAAACCTGGCTTTCCAAGCTAACCTGAACATGATGCTTACCTTCAGATTTGCCCAGGTCATCCAACAACCAAGGCAGGGCACATGACAGTTTGCCAGCAGTTACCAGGCACCAGCGAACTGGTAAAGCACAACTAGTAGAGCTCTTAACACGTATGACTAGAGTAGAAGAAACATGCATGCCTTAAGAATCGAAAACGAATGTCTTCTCTTGCTCTCATGCAACTGCAGAAAGCAGTATTAGAGAATCCCAGTGGAGCTACAGCTCACCAAGCCTGCAGCACGACCTTGCAAACCCAGCGCACATCCATCTGTTCAGACAAAAACCTGCATTCTTCTGTCAACACTGTATCAGTCAACGTAGGAAAACAGAATGAAACAACTCTTCACATTCACACAGACATAACTTTGCTGAAGTTACCTGAATTGCTCACTCAGCCCACAAACACACCCCCAGCAGGCCACAAGATCTCACATCATCAGATCTCTGAGCCTGAAGGAATCAGATCACACACCACCTCTCACATCGACTTAAAAAATCTCCCTTGTCTCACAAGGAGTAACTAAAATAATCATTATTTTATAGGAACAAACAGGTAACAATGGCCTCAATTCAGCATATTACACTTGATGTGCTTTACTGTAAGCACCTGCGAGAGGAAATGCTCCTGAAGGAAGGGGAAGGCTCACTCCCGAAGCTACCGCCTATGTAAATTATGTAACACCTATGCACTGCCTGTTTCCTCTGTTTCAAATTCAAGCCTCTGAGAACAGTCTCCACACTGCTTTCAGTGTATTTTGGATCAGACCTGTTAAGACAAGCAGATCCCATTGCCTGACACCTTTCCCGTGCTGGTGTGGATGTGATCTGTACCAGCGCAGCATATGTCAGCAGACAGCTTTTCTTTCCCCAGAAGGCAGGCGTCTCCTCCAACCACTTTACATCATTCACCAAAAATTATTTTTTTTAAGGTACCCTCAACTAACTGCATTTTATTTTGATATTATCTAACAAAGTGCAGAATTTTTCAGTAAGCATCAGAATTGGACACTTCAAACTGGACTTCTCAGCAATGCAACCCTCGCTGGTGTCAGCAGCACAGGATCATACACTGCTGGAAAAAAACCAACCCAAAGTGGAAGCAAAGGCGAGGTTGAAATCTATCATTTCACTCTGTTGCTATGATTGTTCTGTGTCGCAGAACAACAGCAACAAAAACTCCACAGCTTTTGTAAAAAGTACTTGCAAAGTCATTAAATATTAGAAAAGCCTGATAACGTCAACTTTTGGAACATGAAGATGCTCAGTGAAAAGCTCATTGAAATGGAGCAGTTGTTTACACTCTCCAGCAGTTTCATACTTTCTGTGCTCCCTCCTTCAGAGTTCTTGATTTCCATGATAATTACAAAGATATGCCTTAAAGAAAAATGACTTCAGGAGGTACAATTGCTGGTGGAAATAATCCTGCTTTAATACATGCATTTGAATTCTGTCCATGATGCATTCCCAGCCACAGTAAACATCTCCTGCATTCAGAAGGGTAACAATGCTTGCACGAAACCCACTGCTTCAGTAAGTTAAGGGACAAGAGCTCGAGAAACAGGAGTGGCCTTTCATTCAGAACATCTCTGTGAAATCATGAATCAAAGACACAAAGACATACCAAGTTAATTAGATATGAGGTCACACTAACCATAATATAGTTGGAATGCAACAGGGAAAGCAGTCCTCCCACCACTGAAAGCACACTGCCCGTATCATTTTTGAAGCAATGAGAATACCGTTTTTTTTTCTAAATAATCCATCCCCAAGGCCCTGAAGAGGGAAATACAACACACCACAATTTCAAACTCTTTTCTGCTACAGTTACGTATAAAAAAATATTCAAAACCAAATACGAATAGCTCGAAATCCGACGGTGCCAAGCAGTTTGGAAAGCAGCGGTAAAGCACAAAAGGAGCCGGCCACCTTTCATCTCCCCGCAGCATTAAATCAGAGCAGGTCTCGCTCTCAGCGCTGACAGCAGCTCCTGAGCCTGAGAGCGCGCGGCAGCCCTCGACACAAGGCCAGAACTCCGGGAAAAGCCGCCGCTTCGGAAAATCGCTGGCACGCAGAGGCGCTCCTGCCCGCACAGCGCAGAGCCTCCACTTATGTGGCACCTCCGGCACGCGCTCAGTTAAACCACACACACACAAACCTGCACGCTTAAAGCAGAGCGACCAGGGGAGGTTTCCACCGCCACGCAGTTCTGGGACTCACACGGGATGAGGGAAAGAGTGCCTGGAGGGCCGCCGAGCGGAGCGAGTTCCCGGGGCAGGGCAGGGCAGGGCGAGCAGGGCACGCTCGGGGCGGGGGGCCGGGCACGGCACGCAGCGGGCGGCGCTCCCACCGGGGGCGATCGCGTGGGGCTCCCGAGCCCCGCCGTTACCTGGCAGCGGCGAGTCCGCCCCCGGGCGCGTTCCTCCGCGGCGGACTCCGGCTGAGCCTCGGCTGCCGGCGGCCGACGGGTGAGGCGGGGCGGGCGGGTGCGGAGGGCGCGGGCGGCGGGCGCGGAGGCGCGGCGGCGCTGCCGACCAGCAGGTAGAGCAGCAGTAGGCTGCCCAGCGCCAGCAGCGCCGCCGCCACCTTGCAGGACAGCCGCATGGCGCGAGCTCAGCGCG